CTCACTTTTATGTAGTACTGAGTGTCTGTGTAGTACTCCTAGCTAGTTTTCCATGCCCTAATCCATGGGTATCAAATACATGGTCCACAGGCTGGATGCAGCTCATGGATTTTTGCCCCAGATCTGGCCAGTGTGGTGGAGTTTCCTGGCTGTAGCAGCAGCAGCCAGAGTCCCAGCAAGAGCTGGGCTGCCGGCTACTACCTCTGGAAATTTGGCCACTGTGGCCAGAGCCAGAACTTCTGACCACCATGATGCTGGAGCTGCCCATGCCCCAGCTCTTGTTGGGGCGCTGACTGCTGCTGAGGGAAGCCCAGACACCATAGCCAAAACCCCAGCTCTGGCCAGAGTGGCACAGCTTCTGCCCATGGTGCTCTTGGAGCTGTATGCCCACCAGTTCCCACTGGGGCACTGGCTGCCCCTGCAGGAAACCAGGCCACCAAAGCCAGAGCAGGGACTCTGGCTGAAGTGGCAGAGATTCTCTCTGTGGTGCCACTGAGGCTGCCCATGGTGCTCTTAGAGCCGTACATCTGTCAGCTTCCATGGGGGCATTGGCCACCACCATGGGAAACTCATCACAGCCCCAGTCTCAGCTCTAGCCACAGGGGTAGGGCTTTGCTTGCAGTGCTACTGGGGCAGCGTGTGCCCTGCCTCTCACCAGGCATGGGGTTTTGCTGTGGGAAACCCTGCCAGGGTGCAGACAGCCCCAGCAGCAAACCCCATTACTTCAGGCAGAGTGCCAGCTCTGGATGTGGTGATGGGGCTTCCTATGGTGGCAGCATTAATCCTGCCTCTTGCAGTCCTATTTAGGCAGACACATGCATGCGTGTGCACATACACAGTGTCCCTGATGGATCTTCTCCCCACAGTGCCACTAGGGCTGCCAAGATAAGAGCTGGGGCATGGCCCACAGACACCTAAAAAGAAGGGAATACATCCTTCCAGCTGATTTTACATCCCTGCCCTAGTTAATACATCTTGCCCATGCCCATGCATCTGCCCCATTCAAATCCTTGTGGGGAGTTACTTCTCACTGGCTATCATTTACCCTAACCATAACTTGTAGCTCTCCTCAGAGCAAACCCTGCACCTTGTTACACCTCTTTGAGTTGCTCTTGTTTGAGCTTTTTTCCCTATTTGCTACTTGGGTCAGCATGGAAGCACTGTGTGACATCTTGGCCCCTTTGAAGTTGCTGCCCAAACATCCTTTGCTTTCAGCAGAGGCAGGGTTTTACCAAGGAGTCTAACTGCAGTGTTATCAAAGAGCTGGCTGCATATGCGAGTACCCACAAGGCTGCATGCCCACACTACTGCTTTGTGAAGCCTATGAGACCCTTGCACTGTTGTGCCAAAGGTGCCAGAACAGCTGACCAATAAGGTTTAGGTGTTTGATACACAACAGCCTCTGCACTATGATTTTTCTCACAATGTGCCAGTCAGGACCAGAACACTGATTTCCTGGTGCCCCATCCTGTGCTTTGAAGCCCTGTTTAAATAATCTAACAAGCCCTCTAGTGCTAAGGCTGTTTTCTTCCTTGATTGTTAGGGATGTTGGATGGGGCCTCTACCAAATATGCTCAGCCTCCACCCTCCTCCTTAGCCCACCGCTTCCTCTCCACTTTCTTGCTCAGGAACAGGGTCGAGGATCAGAGCTGGGGGAAGAAAAAGTGTTGACCATGTTGCAGAAAAGCTCTTAGATGTTATGCCATGTTCTAGGCCTCCTCTCTACTCTGGTCTCATCAAAGAACTGTCTCCCCAGCTGGGAAAAGGAGTACCATCACTTTGGGGCACAGCAGGGGTGTGAGATCAAGGTCCAAACTAATGCAAGTACCTGGCAATATGTGATCTAAGCAAGGCGTTAATGAATTAAGAGGTCCTGTAGCTTGCCCTTTAACTAAGGTTTCTGGTACCTCTTTCCTACAATGCTTTATCAGCCATGATTATACTGCATGATAATCCTTAGGAACCCCTAAGGAACTGCACTTGGAAGTCAGTGAGAGCAAAGAGGCTGGTTCCTCCCCAGGTAACTACAAGCAACAAGCTAAACAACACCTGGTTAGCTTCCATTTCCATGCCACATATAATTAATTGACCAAGGTAGTTGGGTTAGGCAGATGTCTGAGATTTGATTCAAACACTACAGTGAGGTCCTGCATTTCTGTGAGGGCAAGATACTACCTCTCAGTTATGTTGCCCAGCCCCCTCATCATTTAACGTATCTTACATATTGCAAAGATAATTAGCTATCTTCTCCACTCACACCACAGAGCCAAGTGCCTGGTTACCAACCTTAGTACAGTCCAAAAGCCAGAGTGCTGTCTAAATACTGCTTGCTTCAGCTTCCCACATGGTGCCTAGGAGAGACTAGGATTCTCCTGTTAATTTGGTCTAGATGTGAAGTGACCTCATCAATTTACAGGCATTTCCCCAGTCAGTTCTGGACTACTGGAAAAGAGTTTGAGGCACTCAGAGTGGTCGGAGGTTTGAAAATATCTGAGAGCTGAGCTATTCTTTTGAATAGCTTAGCAGATGTAGGCAGATGTCAAACTGGGAAGGTTGCTGCTGTCTGTGCAGTGCTGCTAATTCTGATGGCAGGACTGGCATCAGTTTGGGGTGTGCACATTGCACTCCCAAATCCCTGCCCAAGTATAAGTATTACCACCCCCAAGGAATCAAGCATCAGTCATAGCCTCCACAGGCAGTGCTTAAAGTTGAGCATCAATAAATCAATATCTTCACTCTTCCACCTGGACAATCACTGAGCCATGAGCATGCTGAATATCAGAGTAGGCAACCACATCCTTCATGAGATTACCCCAACCTACCTAGGAGTCACATTAGACTGCTGCCTCACCTATAAACACCGCATTCAGGAGGTCAGCAGTAAAGTTTGTGCACAGGTAGCTGCCGTATGATGTTTAGCCAGCACGACATGAGGTGCTAACTTCAAAGTGCTCAGAATCACTGAACTTGCAACGATGTGAGCCCCAGCAGAACATTGTGCTCTTGTATGGTCCAGAAGTTGTCACACTCAAAAGCTCGACACTGTACTTACCAGCGTGCTGAGATCACAACAGGCTGCACAGCCTACACACGCACAGATGTACTCCCTGTACTCTCAGGTATTAGAGCAAGTGATATAAGAAGAAAGACCTAACATCATTACTGGCAATTGAGGCAAGAGATGACGAAAATCACTTGCTTCATCAACTGTTAACTGAAAAACTGAACAGATGGAGGCTTAAGAGGCTTAAAAGTTGTAAATTATTTGTACATGAAGCCCATAAGCTCCTGGAAGAGATTAAGGATGCTGAACCAAACCTATGGGCAGGAACAGAGTAGGCCAACTGCTGGGAACGGTCAGACCTATTCCTACAGCTTTTTATACTAACACCAAATTAGCCACATCAGTTGAAAACACGCACATGGCCAGCACGTCATCTGGGCACACTCTTGAAACAGAAGTGTGGGTCAAGCTGAACAAACTGAGATTTGGATATGGACACTTCACAACACTTCACAAGATGAACATCTTGGACAGCCCCTTTGTGAATTCAGGGTCCAACAAACAACACAGCACTTAATCGAAAGCTGCAAGCTTTACAAATGCTCAGAGAGGGTAGCTAGAATCTGTATATTGAGTGATAATACCAGACAGTGGCTCATAGATTTGGAAGTTGATATCTGAAGCCATATAAAAGAAGTCCTGGCCTCCCATCAGCCCCCAAAAGCATGAAATTTACTTGGGTACCAGGAGTTTTTACATGTCAGATTTAAGTGAAGGGCTGTGGTTGTGTTTTGTTTAATTCTGCGCTTTGGGCCCAAACCTTTATGGTACATATTGGTTGTATTGGAGTTTTTTCCCAGCCACCACAAAAAACAGAAACCTGCTTTATTTTAATAACAATCGAGAGTCTCACGTGTCCCTAGGGGCTAAAGTTGCAGGTAAACATCAAGCATGCCCAGATTTGTGATAAAATTGAGACCCCGAGTCTGTAATAACAAAATACTACCAATTTTCTTAATCCACAGACAACAGTTAAATATTGTTATGGCAGGGCCAGCTGATAGTGCCATTACATGGGCTTCCAAGTTCTTTTTTAGCAAAGAAGTTTTTATGATCTTGAGAGCATGCACTAGCTTTCTGATGAAGCTCCTTTGGGGCAGCAGCATGTACGTGCTCTGTTTCTCCCAATAATGCCAATTCTTTTGGGGAGGAAGAAGGAAGGGGAGTTGAGCCAGGGGAACTGGGCATTGGTGTTCTGGGTGAGACACCAGAAGAGGACATTTGTGCACCTCTGTTCCAGGACTGTTGTATGCTTTGTAAAATGCAATGAGTTGGACTGAGGCTCCACCCAGACTCTCCTTCCACAGACAATCAGCAAGCCTCTTCTCACCCTGTCCCAACATGTTTCCAGTGGGTCAAGACAATGAGTATTGTACTTGCTGTAATGTACATGGGGAAAGAAAAGTTAAGGCCTGCCTGAGGCCATTGTGGCTAAGGGTATCATGATGGATTTAGATTCAGGAGACTGGGTGCTCAGCTCAGCACTGACTGTCTATTTTTAGGTGGGGACTGTATGTGCCAAGAAACAAGGGGAGAAGAGACAAATGTGACTTTGTGGTCTGCAAGGGATAGCGCTGTCTGCCCTAATTGTTTCTTCTCATCCACAAGGAGGAAACATGTTAAGAGAAGGGCTCCTGGGTTAGAACCCAGATGACATGCTGGCCATGTGTGCTTTCCCAACTGAGGTGGAGTGAAAGTGCTTCTCCCTCCTAACAGCCTCAGAGCCAAGTCCCCAGCAGGTTTGTCTTTCATTTCTCCTGCCATTCCCTCCCCAAACTTAGGGTCCAATTGCTAACAGCATTGTACCCCTGGTTTTAACATGTGTAACCAAGACAAAAATCAGGCTCTCCACAAGTCGGGGCTCAGAGAAAAAGATAGGTTCCATTCTCCCAAATTACTCCTAGGCAGGTGACCGGGACCAAATACTTGCTGCGGAGACAGTTTTCATATGCCTTTATTTTGAATGGTACAGGATTTTTACAGGCACTGTGCGTTGGTGTTTCAGACCAGTTCAGATTTTCCCTATATCACCCAATGACCGAAGGAGAGGTGAGAGTTGGGGGTGGGGAGGAGAATATCTCACAGCTACAGTTCCAGCCTCCAGAAAGGCATAAGACATCCAGGAAAACAATCTGCTTCTTTCGAAGCCGCAAAGCAAGGTTTATAAACAGACTTAAAAAAATAATAATACACATATAGGAGCAACTCAAAGCTAAAAATACAGCTATAAACTGGCACGGATCTATGCTGCCACTCGGGTCTTTTCCCCAAAGCTGGAAAAGGATGTTTTTAAAACTAAAAATACATTTAAAAAAAGTTTCCATGCATTAAGTCTTAGTGTTTTGTGCAATTAAAAAAGGAATGAAAATAAATATAACTTAAAAAAAAAACTTTTCCATGACACTAATGGAACAGAGGCGAGTCTGTAAGGCACTTCCATATGGGCTATTCTAAGCAGCCTAGGAAGACTGGGCAAAGCTAAACAGTGCAACCATTTACAACTGTATCAAAAGAACTACAGACATGTGCCTGGTGAGATATGAACCAAGAAAGTCTTAGGAGATTTTAATCTTCATGAAAGACGCTTGTGTTCAACTGCAGAACAACTGATGGCTAAATCGCTCCTGCATTATCGTTGCAGTGAGAACCTCCCTGACATAGGAAGCTGCACCCATTTGACCACGGCAGACAGTCTCTAGCGCTGCCACTGGGGAAAGAGATGAGGCAATGACCTTTTGGAGTCAGGTGAGTGAGGGATTCAGAGCTTCTGTCGGAAGCTGCTCTTACTCGTGGACAACAGCCTTCAGGACTGTTCATAACCTAAACTCAATGCCATCCTTCTGTCCTAAATCCCAGAGACCTCCAAGCTCCCTCCGATGATCAGAACACACCAGCAACGCTCCCCTCCCTGCCATTCTGCCAGTACTTGACCTTTAGCAAACCGGCTCCAATACAAGCAGTCTGCTTAGTTCAAATGTTCCAGGAAATTAAAAAATAGCCTCCACCCTAAATAGGAGGGCTGGTTGTTTTCACAAGACTTGAAGCAGAGGCCATGTATGCTATCCAGTTCAGACAGAGCAAACTGAAAAAAAAGCTGAAGACCACCACCAGATTTAGTGAGCTGTGGCACGAAAGGAATGCCTTACCATCCTTACATTTTGCCATATCAGGCTGATGTGATCATCTTGAGAGCTGATCGACTGCCCTCTTTCTCCCCTGGTATGAGCCTGTAGGCATTAGGTCACACCCACACCACCTCAAGGATCACATGTGTGCGTATTGAAAAGCCCCCTCAAGACCTGACAATGCAATTCTCTTTTGAAGACACAGGCAGGGTTTGACCTACAGGAACATACAACTCTGCTGCCTGGCACTTGGTAAATTTTAAAAGGTTTGTAACAAGAAGCCTGCAATAAAGTAAATCACGGAGACAGTCTACACATCACATTTTGACTGAACCAGATTTTAGGGGGCGTCAAGGTGGGGAGGAGAGAAAAGGGGCATCCTGGCAATGTTAACCTTTCATGCCATGGAGGAGAGCCCGCTTGAGTGCTAGTCAGAAAGAGCAATCAGCATTGAAGGCTTTAAGTGTCTCTGTGGTTTCCTACCACCACTTTCACACTCCCTCACTGCTGTCTTGGCCCTTCAGGCCCAGGGTGGGCCAGCTGCCCCTGCTGAAGAGTGCTAGAAGCTGCTCCTAAAATGGAAAAGAAAAAAAAAAAAAAAGAGATCACTGACTATGTAGAAATCCTTCTCTTTTTGTCTGGCCCCAGACCACTGGTTCCATAACAGTCCTCACCAGTGCCAACTCAGGAGCTCTGAGCTAATGCCTCAGACCTTCATGTGGCATCACACTGCCATACCACTAAGCCATCCAAAGGCATTTTCAATTGGAAGTCGAGGCTGGTGGTAAAACTTCTGCACCTGACATTGTGGCCGCACCTCAGTGGTTAGAAGGAAACTCATCATCCAGCACAGGTAGGTCAGCATGGACTAATACACACACACCAGACTTGGCCACAGATAAGAAGTAACCTTGAAATCCAGGTGGCCACTCTCAAATGATGCCATGATCCCAAGCAGATAATAGGATTTCTCAAGTACAGAGAAAAGCTTAGATCTGCTATTACTAGTTACTCCCACAGACTCTACGCAGCTAGGTTCCTAGATTAAAGTATATTAGTAAATAACTAAATTGCTCCCACTCGGCTGCTCCTGCCTTTTCCTGCTCCACGACCTCTCCGTTTGTTCATTCCATAACCCCTGAACACCTGAAATGGCAGTCTGCAACTGCCTTAGCCTTGGCTACCTTGAAGATAGTGTGTTACCAACACCTGCCACTGGAGGGCAGCTGATCATTACAAATGAACAAGTACTATCCACCCTTCACTTGACTGAGCTGCCTGGTACCTGGAAAGGCATTAAAACATACACATAATCTCATGAGCCACAGAGTTCATCACTTAAGACATCATCTTCCTTCAGCTGGAGAATGTATCAACTACCTAAACTTTCACTAAATAAACCTTTGTTAAAAACAGATGGAATAAGAACCAGAGATGCTACAGAAAGAGCGTGCATTTGCCTAGCCAGACTGACCAGAGTCGTTAACTTCCGGTACTGAAAGGGAGTAACACGATTTGCTTCTGTCTACTGCACAAAGCCAAGACTTCAAGTTTAGCTTTTGTTCTGGCGGGTGACCTACATATTTACACAACTAAAAAAAACCACCTTAAATAGGGAGATTATAGCTTTAAAATTGGAGGGGTTTGGAAAGTGTCTTGTAGTGCAGTTCGGAAGAGTCAGTTTGAGGGGCAAGATTCTGGGTAGTGGCGGAGTTGGACATATGGCTTTAATGCAGGTCCTCACTTTGTGACAATTCTGTCAGGATCTGAATGAGGTTGTCCAGTCCCCAGAGGTAGCCATCCTCTCTGTTCCCTTCTACCCAGGGCACATTGTGCTGGAGGACTTGTCCCTCTGGCAGTGGTGTGGTTTTCCCAAAGTCGATCATCCAGACTTTGGCCTGTTCTTTTTTATCATGAATGAAGAGCAGGGAGCTCCCAATGACCTGCAGAAAGAAGACACCAAGTTATTCATGCTCCAGCTTTTCCTTAGACACATGCCTGCCCTTCCTTATAGCACCAGTTTTAGGGCCACACTTTCAAACACATTACCTAGAGGTACACTTGCAATACTTCATACAGGGTTTTTTCATAAGCAAAACCTTAAGTGCATACCTGCCAGCTGTGTTTGCACATGTAAATCAGACATTTTAAAACAACTGGATTTACCAATACAGTACAGAACCCAGTTTTTGTACACGCAAAGAGCTTCAGTTCAAAAAAGGAAGTAGTCCGATTCAGGTGGCTTTGACCCAAAAGGAGATATTCCATTTAGACTTTTATACTGAAACTGATTTTTCCTGTGGAAAATTTCAGTTTTACCAAAATTGTTTCGTCAGGAAATTATTTAAATGGAAAACAACTCAACACGTCTACCCAGTAAGCACTACAAATGCTGTTTTGATATAGTCTGCCAGCACTTTTTTTTAAGATCCCCAAAGCTGTGTTCATCTAACTTAGTGGTACTCACCCTTCAAGCCCCCAGGGCCAGATGAGTACTGGGAAGCTAGGCCAACAGGTCTGTGTCCACTGTGCACACTGACCTGACCCAACACTGGATCTGGCCATGGCCCAACCCCATGTGCCAGCACAATCTAGTGCTATGCCAGCACAGGACATGTCATCCAGTGTACAGGGTCCCCATGGGCCTGGAAATTTGGCAGTGGTGGGGAGCAGGGACAGCATTTATACAAGGAATTTATCACAGGCATACCATCTAGTTTGTAGCAGAATAGCCAAAAATATTTTTGAAGTCATGTAAAACTTTGGCATTCCAAACCCATACACAAACTTCTGGACTAATTAAAATTGATGGTTTTTAGCTAAAAACTACCTTTAACCTCATCAAACGTACTAAGTTTAGTGTGTTTTACATCAGATCTCCATAAAGATACTGACTGGAAAAATAAATTAAAGCAACAGATTTGAGAATGGATGCAGATTTCAGAAAGAGGAGCTTTTATGCTGGCTATGCTACTTCCCTTGGGCAGGATCTAAAATGAAATTAAAAGCTGTACAACAGTTAGAAACAAATCAAGCCAGGAAACGTTACAATAGAGAAAGGCAAGTTCTACCTCATGGCATTTAAAGAACGGTGACATCTCCAGGGTGGCACGAATCCTCTTCAACCGATTAAGGTAACTGTTCTGGAAACACAAAGAAAAAAAGTGTTATGGCCAGTTTAAGCAAATTTCAAGCAAGTCACTGGACAGACTCAGTGAAGCATACATGTGGGATTGTTATTATTGTGAATGTCTATATGTTCACTGAGAAACCCTTGATGGTCCCCTTACCAGCCAAGCAACAAGCCTATGTATTTTCCTGACCTAAACAGAAAGGCTAAATTAGAAATATTCTGATGTGCCCAATGCTGGACAAGAAAACTGCCTGCCAGCTCTTCCTTTAATACAGTGGTTCTCAACCTTATTAGACTGGAGACACTCCTTGATAGACTCAAGTCAGCCCTATTTTTTGACTACAGAAAAATAGAGCAATTCTTCTGTTGCAAAAAACTGAGAAAGACAATAGGTCAGAATGCTTTTGACAGCACGGATTCCTGTCTGGAAGTTTTGGGTTTAATCTTGTGAATTGTGTTTGTATGCCAACAGTACTAACATTGCATGGCACCCCATGACACCCTTGAAAGGATCTCAAAGCACCCTGGTTGAGAATCACAGTTTTAGTATAATTTGAGTAGACAGTTCACCCAACTCCAACTACGATGGGAGCTTGTGGGGTGCAGGGGAAGGCAAAGACAAGGCAGGATGGATTCAAGAAGCCTTGACAACAGGATGGGTTAAATTTAGTTCTCATTAGCTGTACTCTAGAATGGGGTCAGGATGGTTTGAAAGACCTCCATGTCCTTTGGTATACACAGGAGCAATTTGCACAGCTTTGTTTACTGAACTAAGAATCTATCCCAATTAACTACTGTCAAAGGAAAGTGCAAGTTTAGACATGCCGTTTAGAGTCAGTGTGTAGACTTTATACAGCAAGACCTAAAATGGACCTCCCTCAACACAGTGGGATCTTGGACAGTCAGCGTAAAGTGTTTACAGTTAAATAGTCTAATCTAGCAACTCAGCAGCCAGATTTGGCAAATGCAAGATATAGGGGTTTGCCACATTCAGACTCAGATGTCCACCACAGATAAGGGAACCTGGGCACCTTGTTAGATCATGCTTTCCCAGGCTACCCTGTAAGTTCCTTTAGGAAGGAAAACTCTTCACCAGCCATGCAGGCAGTTGCCATGGTTAAAAACCACATGGAAATGTCCATTCCTTTTTTTCTGCACTACCCTCAGCCACTGTCGATGAGAGTTTTACATCCCAGAGGTGATGCCTTCAGCACCTCTGCAGCAGACTTGCCCTTGCCCGAAGTAGCCAACCCAAGCTTATGCTTTTGCCTGTTCTGTGACTTAATATCGTACCAGAATGCTACAGGCAACAAGGTTCTTTGTGTTGTTATAAAAGCCAGCCATGCAATCTCCCTTAACCTCTCCCTACCCTGGCAGCTCCACCACTCCAGGAAGTGGTTTCTCTTTGCCCTCTTTTGTGCTATTTTAAAGCATGCTCAGCAGAGCAGCAGAGGGCTTCATCCATCTGTGGTCCTCAGCATTAAAGCAGTTCACCAGCAAGGCACGAGTCCGCAGAGAGAAGCCCCATTCTTGCACCTGGAAGACACTTGAGCAATGCCCTCCTGATGCAACGGATGACTCACCAGAATGTTACGGTTCCCTTTAATGAACTCTCTGAAGGCCTCTGTGACTTGTTCCTTTGTCTTCGTCTTCTTGAAGTCCCTGTTTACAGTGCCATCTTCATTCTTAAAAGAAGGAGAGAGAGAGAGACTCAGAGAGTCATGAAAGCTGCCAGTCAGGGAAAAGTATTTGTGCTTTTAAACACTACTTTGCACATCTTAGGAGGATGTGGACCAGCCTCTTAGATTGCAAGGCCAGAGGAGGAGAGGTCAGGATTTAAACAAGTGTCACTTAAGACAGGTCAGAGGGAGACAACAGCCAGCATCCGTGTCCTTGCTTTAAGGAGGAAACCAGCACAAAATCTATGCCAGGAACCATTTGAGGGTGGCTTGAGAGAAGAAGCAGACATTTCCCAGAATCTGTAGCATGGTCTTATTTGAAATCCTAAAGCAGCTTGCACAGAGCAAAGCTATAACAGCTCACCTCTACTTACCAGAGACATACCCTGGGTAATAGCCTATTTTCTCCCTCTAGAAAGTCTCAAAAAGTGATATGACAGAAGATGGAGGAGGTCAAACAATGCGGTCTCTGTTCTACAAACAATTTGGTCTCCTTTCCAGTCAGCACCAGCTTTCCACCCAGCTCCTTTCATTCCAGCATCAGATGAGCAGCATTGCTACTTGGTCATCACCCCAGCTTCTCATACTGTATACAACCCAGACTCAGATCCAACCCAAGATGTCCTCCAAGTTGAGCTGTCCTCCCTCCAACATCTGTCCTTACACAGGAGAGTATATAGTCCAATCACTGAAAGCCAGATTCCAAGAGCCTTCCACCTAATGGTATCTTACCACAAGAAAAGTCCTGGATTTAGAAGCTAGTCTTAAGTGTGCCCTAGGCATGCAGCTGTATTTCCATAATCTAGTTCTGCCATGATAACAACTTGTTTGCGCAAAATAATTTGAAGGGATGGAAGCCGGAAAGACATCCTGTTAGTCTGGGGGAGATGAAGGAAGGCAGTACAATGAATATCCTGTCCTAAAGATTGAGATGTCAGGGGATCCCTTTCAGAGTCTGCCCAGCGAGTGCTCTTTGTTGAGCACAGCTCTTGGCACACAGCACTCCCATGAGGCAAGGTACTAACTGCAAGCAAGACGGCCTCTGAAGTCAGTCACAAATGGAAAGTGAAGCACACACATACCATGCATTGAGCTGCAGAGCTCTGCAGACTGTAAAACAGGGTGCTGGAGTTTATCAGTAAATGATATGTATGCAGCTCTAAAGGGAAGGTTATGTATGGTTTACAAATTCAAACTTCCAATTTGCTTTTAACACACACCTTGATAGAATCGTTACACACACACAAATATGCATGCATGTGTACACATAGAAGGTGGCACCCAAACAATTGCTCTAGCTTAGTAAGCTTTATGTATGCACAGTGGAATAGGTCTCGGTGCTCTGTAAACTGCTGCTTGAAGGTGCAGGTTTGGAAGACATTTATAATACATAAAATCCTGGATGGTCTGGGACTCAAGGCCAACATATGTTCTCAGAGGACCTACTCTACTATAAGGGACATGGACAAAGCAGCTGTACTGATAGTCTATACAACGTGGGCCCTCAGAGAGGAGAAACAAACTTTTTTACTGGAAACTTCCTTGCTTAAAGACTTGCTTCCCCTTGTGCTCCAGCAAGAGACAGTTTGGTGACTTCCAGAGCATGCAGGCCACATGCCAAACTTTGGTTAAGTATTGTGACCAGGTCCCCACTAGGGAAAGGATTTTTGTTGTCATCAGGGGTAGGACAGGCACTGGCCCTGTTTAGCCGACTCCTCTAGGGTTCTCGTGCTTGTATTATGCACACACATTAAAAAGAAAGCTGCCTACATGGCTGCACGAGTCACACAAGCCCTTGCGCTGTGGTCTGGAAACATACGCTCACCCTGTCCCCTGGGACAGTCGACATCAATGTGGGGAAGGGCCACAGGAGCAGCTGCTGAAGTCTAGTCTAAGAAAGGGAGATGCATGTTTATAAGTGGAGTCTGATACAGAGTTCATAGTTAAATGAAAATTGTGGATGGGCTTTGAGATAAGGCATGATCTCAGCTTCATGAAAGCCATCTAGCATATTCACAATGCTGCTCCCATAATTACTCCCCTTGGGCGATTTCCTTGACCTGCCAGATGCTGCTGTTGTGCTTTCAGCAGGCATGGCATTTATAGGTGCTCTAACCCCAGGCAGCTAAAGTTTAGAAAGAAGAAATGTGAAGGTGGTTGATAAGGCCAGAGCAACGAGGCTTATCCTGCCCCCTCACCACATCAGTGCCAGCAACCCATTTTTGGCCCGAGGTAACCTTTGTAGTGCTCAATTCACCAGGTTTTGGCAGAAGCCCAGGACTCCTACTCAAGCAAAGGTCAGGCCCTTTCTAGGAGGGTTCTCATGCACTGCATACCATAGGACATCATGAGATTTTCCACAGTCTAAGAGTTAAAACAGTGAATCTGGACACCTCGTGCTTAAGCTCCTTCCCAAATCCTGGTCTATAGAAATGCCTCTAAATCAATACAGAAATCCTTTACACAGAGCAGGGGATTTAAGGAGAATCACAGCAGTTAGCCCACATCCTTGCTGCAGCACAACAGTTAATTCTTTGGGCCATGGAGGCATCACAATAGACTAGTGAAGAGATAAATGTATCTGTTCTTAGTGAGACAGTTGAAAGATGCATCGAAAGAGTCACTTTGGCAAGCTCCATATAGTCTCACAATTTTAGCAGTATAATACCCATCAGTCAGAGAGTGATAGCTGTAGAAAATAGGTAAAAGTTTGTTCAGAATAAGGGCTGATGGCAGGACCTGGCTGACAATGCACGTGTCCACTGGAGAAAGCAGGAAAGAAGAGGAGTTTAAGAGAGTGGGAAGTCAGAGAGATGGAGAAAGAAAGTCTCTTGCAGCTGGTCGGGTGACCCAAAAGTTCATCCTGTGACTGGATTGGACAGGGTAGGAGAGTGTTTGGAAGTGACTGACCAGAGGGAATGGGATATGTGACAGGATGAGCTTCATGGCAGCATGATCATGAGGACAGAGGTTTTGTATTGGGCAGGTGGCTACCAGTTTTCTCTCGCAGACTGGGTTAGGTGGAAGGGCCTGCATGAAAGGGAAGATTTGGATTCAGCCGAATTGAATCAGGGACAGTGATCCAAATCAACTAACTGAATCACTGTCCCTGATTCAGGCCAAATCCAAATCGAATAGAGCCCGCTTCACACACCCCTAGTGTTCAGAAGTGCTTAAGCAGCTTAGAAGCCTAAGTCTTACTTGATTATCAGTTAAACATAGTCCAAGTCAGTTAGGGCTGGAGTTGAGTTTGCAGTAGATACAAGCAAGAACTCTACTCCCAGCCACGCACAAGACCTTTTAACTTAAGTGTGCTGTGGCTTTTCATTGGAGCTGGCCGGCCTGTCAGGGGCCACATGCCAATGTTCTGGTTAATGCAAACCTTCAGTTGCTGAAACCACCACTCTGTAGTGAATGCAAGCTGGATCTGTTCAACTGCTGCTATTTCTCTGATGCTATTCCACAATTACCTCTACTGTCCATGTTCTTCAAAGGGGCAGGCACGTTCTCCCACAATTTATTGGGAAACAATTCATAGTGAATATTAGTTTGCTGCAAGGCAAACAACAGTGGAATGGATCCATAGCAGTCTCAGGGTGTGGACAGTCAAACAATAGTACCAAGGTAAAAGGTTTTGGGGGTATAGAGGAGGACAGATTGAGAAAGGCCCCCCTACACTTTAGCCTCAAAAGCTCAGTGATTAGGCTACTCACCCAGGAAGCTGGAGACCCAGAGTACCTATACATGTGCCCAACGCCTGCTCCAATGAGTTCTTATTAGAATGCATTGGAGCAGACTCGATTAATCAAGTCTGCTCGAATGTGCTAATTGGCACACTCCAGCAGCCTCAGCATTACAAGTATTCAGCATCCTCACGTTTCAAAATGGCAGTGGGGGCGCGCTTTAACTAAAGGTCTAATTAAACTACCCCCCACCCCGGACCACATGTAAAGACGCCCCCAGGTTCTAGCTCTACCCTAACCTTATCCAAAGGGACTTGAACCTGTATTTTTGACTTCTCTTACATATGCAGGACTCAGATGTAGGCACGCATCCAGAATGGGTGCATATATACATAGCTGAGTAAGTGTGCATTCAGGTGGTCACCTACTATGCGTGCTTAGATTTCATAGAGAAGTAAGGCTGGAAGAGACCTTAAGAGATCATCTAGTCTAACCAGGGATCAAACCTGTGACCTTATCCATCCCCACTGCAAGGATCTGCAGCATCATTACTTGCATGTAAATGCCAAAAATAACACTTATTCAGCTTAAAAGCTGCCACTTAGATGCACAAAAGAACTCAGAATTCCACCTAAATCATAGGCACTTTGACCAAATTACTCCTTGTCATTAAAAGGGAAAGCAGTGCACGAGAGAAGAACCAACTTCGAACCAATTAGGACCAAAGTCACGTAGACAGGCTGCCTCTAGAGGGGAGTTTTAAACTGTTAGGATGGAGAGAGATAATTAGGCACATTAGTCTGAAGTCAGGCAGAAGGCACCTTTGAACCAGTTAGTCTCCAAGGTGGTACCCTGCCCTGCCTTCTTAAAATAGTTAAGACCAGGTAGCCATTTAATGCTTTCATGGACCACAGTGGTCTTTGAAACATGAATAAGGCGTGCAACGTTACAGAGGACCTCTCTCACACAAAAGCTTACCTAAGGCAAGTAAACTGGTGAGTCTGACTGCACCTTGCTATAACTGAAGGGGTATGGCTGAGGAAACATTTGCAGAAACAAGAGAAACAAGTTCGCAGATTTTGCAAAGCGGTTTGAGTCAGAAGAGCTGACTCAAGACTTTTTAATATCCTTGAAGTTTAGAAGGGGTCCTGATCCAGTTCAGCTCTGGAGCTATGTAGTATATTGGGTGCTGACATGGCCCAAAGCTAAAATTCAGGCAAAGATGCCACTATTGCCTGGTTTTTGGTGGAGGCAACAGCTTTACAAAGTTCCATCTTAGACACTGTAGTGCTATGAGCTAAGCCCAGAGAGAGTGGTGTGTGCTCTTTACAGTAAATCCAGCTACAGAAGCTTCCTGCTGCTAGGGGGGCTCACAGGAGGTTCACATTTCTCCATTCCTCCCATGTGGTTTTTCAAATAGGCTCTGCAAGCAATGGATGGTACAGTACAGAAGGCAGGTTAGGCAACCTCACCTTGATCCCCTCGATTCTGAATCCCAGCGTTGCTGTAGAACTGATGGTCTCTCTCCACTGCATGTATCGGGGTTTGGTTACTGCTCGCTGGGCATTCTCCTCCTCGGTTGGAGCATCTGGATCTACTTCAGTCATCTTCATATACATGTCCTTCCGCAGGTTTGGTTTCTTCCGAGCTTTTGTTAGTTCCTCTTCCAAGTACGTTCTGTCAAAGGGGCACAAAACTTATTGATAGCCTGAACATACATTAAGGTTCCAGTATATGGATTTATGGTTTATGAATGATAACACTGGTGAGGCATGAAGTGCACCACTAATTCATGAGCAAGATCAGGGATCAGGTCCTTAATCTTGGCTACAACGTAAGTTTTCATGTACCTTCAACACCCATTGCCTTCACTTGGAGCAGATAACACTCGGCACACCTCCCAGGATCAGGTCCTAGACAGTCTGTTTCATGTGAGCAGTGCCCAAAGAATCCCCCCAACCTCTATATTTCTTGAGTGAGACTACAAAGCCCCAAAACCTCAGGGCCTGCAACACTGGAACAAACAAGTATCAGAATCTCATTCTACATCAGCAACCCAAGCTAGGATGCCAGAGGAGTCCAGCATCTTCCACTCACACATAGGAAAAGATACAGAAGGCAACTGTTGAGTTCACAAACAGGGTTTTCACTTCTACTCCTCCAGCCACCATTTGGAGCTCTGCCCAGCTCGCAGACATGCCCTAGTCATGGTGAATCATAGAAAAACACCACAGTTCTGGTGTGACCCCTCCCCACTCCCTTTTCCGAAAAGTGCTGCAATTTATATCATGTTCCAAGGGCAGGATAAAGTAGGACTGTTTTTGCCATGTGCAACAGGACAAGGAGAAAGACAAAGCTCATTCAGCCTCAAAGACTTGCCATGTGAGGCACTGCACAGTTAGCAACAGGCCCTGCCCCAGGAAGTGTGTATCCAGGATAACCAACACCCAGGGAGTAGTTAGCCACAGAGGAGCACAAAGAGACTGACATATCTATCTATCTATCTATATAATTAGACCTACTTCATTGATCCTGCTCAGTTCAGCCCCCTATCGCACATACTTCATATATTCTAATTTACAGAGGATTCAAAATGCAGTGGGCTAAAATCAGACTAGTTCATTTAAAGCATCTGTCCTAGAGGACTGTGCTCTCCAGGGCTCAAATTACTTTCCAACTCTTGGGGCAGGGGGGTCCTGCAGTGGCGGCAGCCGGAACCTGGGAGCTGCCACCTGAGCTGCTTAGAAAAGTGCAGGGCGGGCTGGATGCAGTGGGGGGGCTGAGCCCCCCCAAGCCCCTTGTATTTCAAACCCTGGTGCCCTCTCCCACAAGCTCTGACAGCTAGACAAGCAGGTCACACCAGAGTCAGATCTGCTCCCGTGTTACCTACTCAGCATTGCTTGATAATCTAAATGGGACTTAAGTACATTAAAACAGTTTATCTCCAGATCACTAATCCCCTTTCAAAATGAATTAAACCAATCTGGAATAGGGAATCTGCAAATGGGGTTCATCTGGAGTAGTCCACCTTGCAATTTACACCCTACTTTATTCCAGATTATTTTTCCAATTTAGATTATGCCACCTCTGTGAGAATTTCCTCATATGAGAGGCCTGCCCTGCTAGATACCAAGCACTACTTGCAGTATCCATATCCTGTCACTTCCTCCTACCCATCACCACAAAGACCAGCCTTCACGCCATTCAGCTGCAACTCTGTTCAGGACCTCAACAGCCCAATACTCTTATCTCGTACCTAGTCTTCCTAAAAACTTCTGCCAGCCTATGCAGGAATCCAGCCACTGGGATCATCTTCCTTGACCAGCTCCTCCTTTTCAAGTCCAACAAGGTCAAGCTTCTTTTAAATCACCTCGCAGAGCCTACAGGACAATTGGTTTGATTTTCCAATTCTCAAAAGTGCATCGAACAAGGATTACATCCAACCATGGTTGACATTGCCCTAAAGTAGAAGGAAACCTCTCTTGACCTTTACTTGAGAGGGAAGAGCTGTTTTTCTCCCCTCTGGTAAGCTGGGCCAGACAACTCAAGATTGGACAGCTTGTTTGGAATACTGAGAAAATCTGAACAATGACTTATTCTCATGAGTTAAATGAAGCTTTCAGACTGTGCTCTGTCAACTGATTTTGTACCAGAAAAGTTGGCTAGGTTCAAGGAAAGACAGCGAGTGAGTAAGCTACATCCCGGCACTTGGCTGTCAGCAGCATTTGACGTTCCCTTTGAGAATCAGCTGACATGTTCAGACTTCTCCTGAAATCTAGTGTTTGCCTTATACCCTTCCCCGCCTCTTTGCCACACACAGGGAACTGGACTCTCCCAAGAAACAACAAATGAGTTTGTTCTAATTCCTGTAAGTTACAGAGCAAATTGATGAGAAAGTGTTGAACAGGTGTTTGCCATTCCTGAAGGGGGAAAAAAAAAGGAGCGGCAACTGAAGGAAGGAAAAGATGGGCTGGAGTCTATGCGCTTCTGGGCATCAGACATGTTCAGTTCTGTAGGATTTCCTGGCCTGGTTCCTGTTGGTCTGAAAGTGTGTTCTCCAATAAGATACACGCACAGAGAATTTTACCCTTGCTTTGAGGTTTGGTCAGTCAACTCAAACCAATACCAGAGACAAGCTGAGGGTAGGTAGGAAGTAGCAACATATGTAACCCTGCATTGACTCCTGGACCCCCAGACTAAAAAAAGGCTGCTCCCTCGAACCCCAGTGTAGACAAGGGTAGCAGTGAAGGGCTAAGATATCTCTTGCTAAGGACAGAGCTGAATTTGTGAACTACTTTCTTTTAAGTCCACCTCGAAGGCAGCCTCCACCATTTGCTGAATTAAATTAGGTCAACTATGCAGTCAAGAGTCTCCACGGCCCCTTCTGCAGCCCTAACTCAAGCTCTATATAGAAACTCCTACTCCTTGCAGGTCCATTCATGGCATCCTACAAAGCAAGCTATTGCTTATCAAATCTTATGCCCCTCCAAATTGGTTAGTCTGTAAAAGTGTCACTCTGCCTTGCTTTCAAGCTCTAAAGCAGTGGTTCCCAATCTGTGGTAGACGTACCATTGGCGGTACACAGACAACCTGTCAGTGGTACACGTTAACAAACTTATTATAATTACTTTATATGACAAACATTTGCTGATGGTATTTAAGGTTGTATTGTTTTAAATTGGTGCGCAATCTGTCAGAGTTTGGGAACCACTGCTCTAAAGGGAGCCATTCTCCAGTAGCGGAGAGAGTCAGTGGTTTTCACCCTTTACTGCTTCTCCGACAGAGATACTGTTCGTATCAGACCTTAGTTTTCCAACTTAAGGGACTTCCATCTTCTCCTTAAACCTTACACTGGTTATTCAGCTCCCTTTTCTACAGCAGTAATAAGCATCACCACAAAACTACACAAGAATCTCAGAAGATTTTTTTTTCCTACACCAACCTGAAGCCCCAAGTCCCATTAAGTAGTAAAGAGTTGATTTGATCAATTTGTGACATAACAATGCCTCTGGGGAGGTTTTTTTTACCTATTTTTGTAAGCATTGGAAGCCACCCAGGTGAAAAGCAGATGGAATTCAGGAAGACAAAACTTAATTACCACAGCTTGATTTTGGCCAGGAAGAGGTTATTCTTAGTGTCAGGGATATTTTAAAAGCCACAAAAAAACATAACAAAACACCCTGGCTTTACCTTTCCTTTAGAAACACAGTGTGTCCTAACACTCTAGGAAAGCTGCTTCAGGCCTCACTCAGGAAAAGCGCTGTCTATCAACACCACAGTTTCCAGCTTATTTTATTTATTCCGGCTTATTTTCCAGCATGGTTTCCAAGTCCCAGCCCTGCTTGTAGAGAGGTCTTGTCAGAATGAGAGATAACAGCGGAAAACCTTGCTGTGTCCCTTCACTCCATCTCTGCTATATCCAGAGAGCAGCTTCCTGTTTAGGACAAGGCAAAGAGCTCTATACACATACTTGACTTTCCTATCTCAAGCCAAGTGCAGGGGAAGCAAGCTAGAGAAACTGTATGGAATGGTGTTTGCACATTTTCCCCTGAGACCTACCAAAGCCAAAACATATCTTTCAGAGAAAGCATCTAAATCACATGGTGGATATCCTCAGATTCTATTGTCTCGTTTTAAAAGCTCAGATGAAAACGATAAAGGGCTCTGGCTTAAGTCAGCATTGTGATTTCTCAGTGGGTGGAGTAAGACAGCAACGTATTCCTAAATAGTTGTGCTACTCAGAGGGCTAATTTTTCTTCACAGGGTAAAGAGTACACATAATCTTCATTTGTGAATTCTCTTCCCTCTACTTCTCCCAAGGTTTAACCCTCTCCAAACCAGCGAGTCACAGGTTTCAGTCTGAAAATGTCTAGAGAAAAGTCTGTGTTGGGTGTAGCCTTATTGGTCTAAAGACATAGGCAGACACTTAACCTGCCTGAAGAATGGGGTTTGTACCCGAAAGCTTGCAAAGAAGAATTTTTCCAACTATTTTAGTTGGTCTAATAAAAAAGATAATCAGATCTCTTGCCTGGAGAAACTTCCCACTGTCCAGAGGAAAGCAGGATAGCTTCCAACTTGGGATGAAAAAAAAGGGTGTCAAGTCAAACAAGTGCTCTCTTCCTCCACCCACAGCACAGAAAAGAGTACTCCTGCAGAGACGAACCCTTTTGACAGGCATACCACAAATCAGCCCTAAACCCTCGTTGAGTGCCACTCTGATCCCACTCCTCTGTCCAGTCTGCTGCTCTGCCTTCTGCCCCATCTGCCTGTCCCCTCCCTTATCTATCATATGTCACGCAGAGGCTTCCTATCACTTGTGCTGCAGGTTGCACATCCCTGGAGTACTCTACCTTCCCTGTGTTCTCTGACTGGGGAAAACTCTCAGAAACCCCCAGTCTGAGGAATGGCACAGGATAACTCACAGGTCAACCAAAAAGACGGGTCTTACATTTTGTGATGCCATGTATTTAAGGAAACGGACCTGATCCAAAACTTCAGAGAGGTGCCAGACCATGATGTACTTTCCATTCCGTCAGCTGGGACCCATGCTGTCTATGGCCCTAAATTCTTTATTAGCTAATAAATGTTGCTGTATATTTCATGTAACTTATAATGCGGTAGCACTTTCGGGGCCTGAGTAGCTATTATGATACACAGATGGTTGCAGAGTTTCTTTATTGTGATGGCATGTAGAGGTCTCTGGGATGAGGTACTGGTTGTGCAGTACACATGCACAATAGAAACTATTCCTGCCCAAAGAGGTGATAGGTGGATTCATACAGCATGGAAAGTAATAGGGAAATTAAAATTGTACTTAGCAATCACAGCACAACAATGGCACAGTCGCTTTCAAAACCCTGCCCTAGGCTTTAAGGCTAAGTACAGACAGTCAAAAAGCTTGAGGTTGAATCAATTCAATCCTTGCAGGTTAGTCTAAACTATGTAGATTGAATCCCTAAAAAAAGTGAACAGACATTCACTTTTGATTCTGGAAATGCAGCCACATGCCTGCTGTAGCTCAGGCCAGAAGCTCGGGGGCACTAGAGCATGCCCTTCCTTCTTGTCTGGAGCAGACAGCTTGGGTCGTGGCTATCCCATCCACCTGGTGAGGAGGGGTTTGTGGGAAGAGGTGCAAAGCATCCTGGGATGCTGGGGGACTGAGTTAACTTGAATCTGTATGGGGATCTGGGACAGAAAGTTCAATAAACTGATTTAACTTAAATCAGTTAAATCTGACACTACATCCATCCAGGTTTCTCTTAAACTGGTTTGAGACATTTTTAAAGTAGTTTATGTGCACTGAAACTTCTACTGTGTTATAGATTTGAACTGGTTTCTGATCATTTTTACCAATTTATGTGCAAATTCTATCCCTAACCTAAGAGCTATGTGCTTGTCTCACCAAGTTGCTGTTTAAATTTTAATGATTTCTTTAGTGCACCGTTATAGATGTTTTAACAACAACAAAAAATTGTGCACACCTCAGTGTATTGCACCTCTCTCCCCTAAATATATGCCACTAGCTCAAAAAAAAAAAAATCATGTGCAAGTTAGCCCACATAATTGTGCCCATGCACACACAGCGAGCCAACCAGTTCGTCTCATGGGACAGTGGGACATGCCAGTGGTTCTGAACCAACTAGAGGCACTCCCTGAAAAATGCCAGCTTTCAGTTTTTACTCTTTGTCTGCCTACATAAAAATAAATAGTGCAGCTTTTCTGTTGCTAAGGACTCCGAAAAACCACAACTATGGCTTCCTATTTGAAATCTTTGGGCTTACCCTATGAATCATGTTTGCACACATCGCAGTGCTAACGGTGCATGGCACCCCACAGCACTCTTGGAAGGATCTCAAAGCACCCCGGGGTGCCATGGTACCCTGGTTGAGAACTAACACTAAGACACGCAACCCCCTTTCAGCCTGACAAGCTGGAGGCTGATTGACACTAGCCAGGCCTACAGGTTACTGCTGGTGCACGCATTTTTTAAAAGGAAACAAACTCCCATGATCTGTTTGACAACTATGTGCTTTTTTGGGCAAAACATCAGTTAACCTGTTCAGAATGTTTTTCCATTTGTTCATGCAGTAACTTGAACTTCACTCCCCGTCCATGCTGCCAGAGTCCAATCAAAACAGTGTCTATGCAGTAAGACCTCTCTCAGAGATGCTAACAGAAGCACATGAGAAGAGTTACTAGAGCAGCAGATAATAGGAGGAACAATATTTGACTGTCTCCCCAGGTAACAGACTCAGTTCCCATTTCCTTCAAGGTACACCTCAGGCCATGCTGGAGCAGGATATGTAGCTAGCTTGGAGATTGCCAGCACCCCCTTACCAATGCCTTCACCCCTACAAAAGAAAGAACAGTTCTGTTTCTGATGCAGAGGCACAGGAGGCACTTAACAGGGAAGGGAAGGAGGGGGGAAATATTGCTCTAGCCAACAAGAACCATCAGCTTTTTCAGAAAGAACCAGAGTCTCCACTACATCTGAGATGTGTTTCAGATCCTGATCCCCTCCCTCCCCCAATAACTAAGCCAGCCAGATCTGTGCAGTCTGGCTGGGCTGCAGCATAACCACTTGTGCACCTGATCCTGCGACCCTTGCTCATTCAACCTTTGCTTACTCATTCCCACCCCTCCATCCCCCCCAGTCAACAGGATTTGCCATGTCTTTAATGACTGAGTAGCTAAACATGTGCAGGACTGAAGTTAAATACTTCACAAATGGGCTTCAAGACAAGCAAGAACAATAATGTTCAAGTACCTTGGAGAAAGAATGCATACATATCCTATACTGCAGACGTGAATGTACTAGCAGAAGGAAAGCTCTTATACCTTTCCCTTACTTTGAGGTCAGATGTGAAGCAATGAGATATTGAAGAAGGCATACTGAAGAACTTGCAGTGCGAGCAGCGATGAAGGCCTTGACATTAATGGACAGGGCAACTTGAATAAGCTATTCCAAGGTCCAATGCTTTACTGGGACATCTTCCAGAAAATTACTGGTTGCAGCCTACTCTTGTGTGAGCTAGAACAGGGCTGTGCAACTGGTGGGCCACATGTGGTGGCGTACAAGGGATTAATTGAGGCCCCTAGGCTCCAGTCTGGCTGTTGCTCCCCCCCACAGCTCTGCCTGTAGCAGCCGCCAGATTCTCCAGACTCCGCACACTTCTGCTTTCTGCACCCATCCCAGGATGCAGCACAGTGCAACACAGCACCGAGCTGAGGGTGAGGCCAGGGACACATGGGTATATGGTACAGTGGAGGCGGAGAGGGAGGGGTGCGTCTGTGTGGCGTGCAGCCTGTGGTCCTCCTGGGTGCGGCCTGTGTAGCATGTGTACCCCACACACATAGAAGCTGGACAGCTCCAAGCTAGAATATACTCCACTAATATAAAATAGGAGAGAACAATGTTGTTCTTCCCTGCAGAGATGAGTGCAGCTCCATAGTTCTTTTAACCATGGAGCTCAACATGGCTGTGTGACATGACTGAAATCCTTCAGTCATGACATGCGATGTCTGACTGCTGATGGCAATGCTACTCCCTTCCTCATCTTAAGGGAATTTGTCATGGGAACTCCTGGGCAAAGCTTCATGGAGGCTTTACCTACTTGCCATTTTAAAGCTACTTTCATTCAAGGACTGCTATCTTACTCCCTAAAACTCCTGCAACATGTCACCCCAGCTTGTAGATCAATGCCTTCCTGTAGCTGGGGGAGCACAGTAGACTACTTCCTCAAAAGCTGCCACCCCAGGCCAGCAGAATAGCAATGGCCTATTGCAGCAAACTAACACAACAGTCCCTGCAGCTCTCCTTCCACAGTACACCAGGAGGTCATCAGACTGAGAATATAAAGAGCCTGTCATGCTGTTGCTAAACCCACGTGACCTGGGTAAGTCATTTAGAGCCAGGGAAGCCTGTTTACACCAACTTTTACTTTGGATATTTATTTCCTTCCAGCATTAAGTTTGCTGCAAGTTCTGTACTTTCAAAATTCAGCATCATGTTCTTCCTACAAGGACAAGGGAACGTAGTAACTAGTACTCACCTGACTCCCATCTTGCAGTCCATAACACAGGGGGAGTCAAACTCAGCCAGCAGGTCATCCATCTGATTGTACCGCTCCCCATCCTTCATTACGTCCCCATGATAAGCAGGAACAAAGGGCTTCAGGACATCATTCATCAAGCGGTCCAAGCAGCGCTGCTCGGATTCGCAGTGCTTCTTCAGTATCCTGCCATTGGCTGCTGCTTTGAAGCTTCCTGCAAGACAGAAGACAATACAAAACTTGCCTTAGCTCTGGAGCAGGACACCTTGCCAGGTGGAGGAAGACAGGCCAGGAATTTCAAGTCTCCTTCCCCTGCTCACCTCCCCACCCAAACAATATTTTAAAGGTTAAACGCTCAGAAGTGCTATGAATGGTTAACAAACTTCTACTGATGGTTTTATTTAGTGTCAAAGGCTAATGATCATCATTGCTGCTAGGACTGATTCACTCCCACTTGAGGTTTCAGCTAAAACTCATCACAGTAATTTCCACTGAAGATTAGTCCTGTTTAGAGGACTCCGTCTCCTCTTCCCCTGAATCACTGTCCTTAAGAGCTGGAACTCTCAGGAACTGGTAGGAGGAGAACTTAACATCACCTCCTACCTTCAGTCAGTGGCAGTGTTTGAACGGAGGTCCTCCATGAGGAAAGCACAAACCTCCACCACTTGACAGACATGAGTAACTCCAAAAGCTGGCAGCGGTCCTAGGCAACCATCTAAATGGGTGGGAGTGTCTGTGGAGACTACACTTTACAAGCACAATATGCTAGAATTTCCTTCACCTCTACTTTGTGCTATTTAAGCTCAGTTGTTCCCGCAGCCCTGGGCTTCCCTAGAGGCTTAACAAATTAAACCCTGTGAAATTAATTCAGAGACAATTTAGGCCAACACAGCTAATTAGCTTAACAGTCGAGAAACTGCCTGATGCTCTGCCCTTTCATTAGTTTCATGCTCAGGAGCATCTCCTTGGGCATTATACAGCACAGCTTGATGTCCCATACCTGCATGACCCGCCAGTTGGATCCAAGGGTACTTCTTCTTGAAGGACATAACAAAGGGGGACCACTGCACCATATTTTTGATCTTCCGCCATGATTTGCTCTGAGGAAGGGGGAAAGAAAAGAAGCAATGGAAGTGAATACAGTGGGTTTTTGCTACCCAAATCCAGCCCAGAGAACATGTTAGCGTAGTGCAGTTTTTTAGACAGTGGAGAAAACTTTAAAGGCTGGAAGGGAAAGGAGCATTGGGGAACCTTCTCCTGTTTTGTCCCCACCACCACTGTGCCAAGCCAAGTTACTGGGTGTCAACTCCCAACCCACCACTTATGTTGAGGAGCTACCTTGAAGTGAATGGAATCACTTTTTTCTGTGGGATAAGCAAGATCAGAAATCAGGGGAGTACCATACAGCACAATTACTAGATATCTTCTCCCTACTCCTCAGAGCTCCTCTTTAGGAAAGGGCAGAGTATTGCCTCAGTCCTGAGGTGCAACCATTACACTCAAATTTGAGGAGTCAAGATTTTTCATGAACTCCAGCATTTTTACATGGATTTTACCACTTGAATCCATCTAAAAGTTATACAAAAAGCTTATTTTTATTCCCTTGTGAAAAACAGCTGCTTTGGTCAACACATTTTGAGTCCGTTTTAAGCAAGCGAATAACTATACTGGAGAAGACAGTTCACCTCTGACATGTGGAATTTGTTACTAGATAGATTGCACACTGTACTAATGTAAATCCTTCTGGGGGGCTGTATTCAAACCACAGAAAAGCCTCATCCAAAATGTGAAATCTTTCCTGAGAAAAGTTGTTTTCCTTAGATCCATTCAGTGGGATACACAGCTACTAAAAAAGGCAGAGGTATTTCTTATTTCAACACTGCAAGACTCTACAAACTATGCATGCAGGCACCCTTACTCGGGACAACAGGGACAATGGAAAAATGCAACAGGGACAATGGAAAAATGTCTAATTGCACAGAATGAGGCAAACAGGGATTTTCTCCTGGACAGTCGCAACTCACTGAATCCAAATTGGATATGCATGTTATATTACCCTCTTTTGCACAACCAGAAATGCAATCATTCCATAAAGCTAAGATCATATCATACCCTCTTACTATTTGCAGAGCTCCTATTTATCTGAAAAGGATGTCTGACAACTTCATCAGCTAAACCCTTTATTAGGATATGTGGTGGAGTAAAGTCACAGGCAAGAGTCAGGCAGCTGGTATAGTAGCTGCTGCTGTAGTTAGAGGAAATTTTATCTGGATGAAGCAAGCTGACAGGTGTCCATTTCCTGAACCATCCAGTTGGTAATCTCCACTGTAGGAAGCTACAGGGCAGGGACTCCAGAGCAATCATGAGACTTGCAGAGTGCCAAGAAGATGTCTTCGCAAGACAGAGAAACCGTGATTATCTGAAGGGATGTCCTGTGTTTTGAGACAACAGGCTCTTCTACTCACTTGGAGAGAGATGATGTCCTACAGCAGTGGTTTTCAACTTTTTTCATTTGTGGACCCCTAAAAAGTTTCAGAGAGAGGTGTGGACCCCCTTTGAATTTAAGTGTGGGTATTCACATGCTTTTGACTGATCATAATCATCTTTTGCAGACCCCTTTGAAACAGTCTGCAGACCCTCAGGGGTCCATGGACCATAGGTTGAAAACAGTGCGATAGGGCAATTAAGTGTTAATGCTAAATGTCAAAGGTTCAAGCAGTCTGCCCTGGGTTGGTAAGGGCCAAACGTTTTGGCAGGGGTGCCACCAATTAGCCCCACACCCCTCCTCAAGTGCCACTCTGATCCCCTTCCCTACTTGATCAGCTGATCTGTTTTCTGCCCTATTCGTTGCCCAGTTTGCCATGTGCCACACACAGGCGGCCCATGCCACCCATGGTATTCGTACTGCATACTGGCCTCTCCTGCCCTAGATAGTGCCATTTAGGGGCAGACCCGAGTAAGGGTGGTGCAGAGCTGCTCTGCCTCTTGGGATATCTGAGGAATGCCTTCCCAAGCAGCCTATGGGCAAGAAAGAACATACCACCCCATACTTTACACTGGCCTCCTGCAGGACAGCGAGGGCACGCAAGGCCTGTTCCAGCCAGTGTCAGGCACAAAACGAAGGATCCCTGTGCACCATCTCCTTCCCCGTCCCTCACCCAGGGTTTATGTTGGTAACTGTCCTGGGATTGAAACTGTTAGCCTGCTCTTTGGATTGTTTGCAGCACCAGACTAGAAGCTTGGCAGAGAAACTTCTTGGAATTAGATCACCCAGGGCATCCCCTTCTCCAGCACTGTGTTCAGGATTGTTTTGTATTTGAGCTGTAGCTATGCCAGGTTGGGTCAAGGATGCAGAAGGCAGCTCCCTACCTGACATGGGGATAAATGTTTTATTTCCATGTAAAGTGCCAGAAGCTATGCACTTTGGCTGTTCTTTGTTCTCCCTTGGCAGAGAGCACCAGGGGTTTTCCCCTCCTTTTGTTTTTAAATAGCACTCAAGTTCTGACTGATGTCATTTAAGAGAGAGAGACTCTAGTCTCCTTGGGAGTTTAGGCTCTAGAGCAATGTGACCCAACTCGTCTAAAATAGAGAGAAGGAATCCTCCCACCAAACAGAAACATAAATCACTCAGGCCCAGGATGGACGCCAAGGCAACGAGTGTTCTCAAGCCAAGATTTTGTTTTTCAGTGGTTAGAGGTTTATAGCAAAAAGCTTGATGTACTTCAAAAGCATAAGCAAAAAAAAATGAAGCTCCGAGACTACTGCAAGCCTTCCTGATCCTTCCTCCAGCTGAGGCTTTCTGACGAAAGAGGCATACTAATGAATTCTGCTCTATGGATTTCAATTTCCCTTCTTCTATCAGACCCCAAGCCAAGACAATTAAGGCTTTTAACTCCAGGGAAGGGTTAATCCCTTGCCCCTGGCAACTGTTCATGCCAAGTGTAGATTAGAGGCCACTGAACCTATGGAGTGAACTTGCTATTGAGTTGAACAAGATAAGAATCCTAAAAAGGCAAGGGAGCCAGGTTGAAAAGTAACCAGCCTCAAGCATGGCTACAAGAATTGCAGCACATTTACAGCACCTCCACAAGGGGAAAACAAAACAAAACATTTTGATGCAGTTCTTGTCTGGTTTCATGCGCACCTTTGGAGAAGTGATTCTTTCACACCAGTCACTGCATTTTGGATCAGCTTGCACATGCTAACTGTCCCTCAGCCCTGCTAAGCAATCAGACCCTTAAAGCCTTTTACTGAGCCGGTAGAGGGAAATAAAAGAGGCTGAAGTCTTTCACAGGATTTGTATTTTAGTACCCAAGAGGTTTACTTGGAAGGTGTGTGAAAGATTTCCCACAAAAACTGGAAACAACTAGGGGCTGCAGACGGCAGCTCTGGTCTTGAGTTCAAGTTGCCAGAGAGCATCCCCAGCATACTTACTGCCACTTCAGGTGTGTGCAGAGCTTTGCAACATGTTAAGGAGGATTCAAGTGATGTCAGGCTTTCAAACTGGCTTAGATTTGTTGGGGGCAAGTTGCATGGAATTTGAAAGGCTGAGCTTATCCCATGCTATGACAGCTAATCCACCTTCACAGAAAGCATTTCCACGCACGCTCTGAGACACCGCACTTCACCAGAGCCCACCCAGTAGAAACTGCAAAGTTAGCCAAGTCCTCACCTTGGGCAGTATACAGCTCTGACAGGCAGCAGCCTCTGCAAACAGGAGGCCAGTGTACACTCTGCAATTCCTGCAGGAGCCATCTTACTTTTTTAAAGTGTGTGGGGAGGGGGGGAAGAGTATGACAAGCCAAATGTAAAGGAAAGTTTACTTTATTAAAAAGTTCTCTCGTGCCATCAGCCCACAGCTTATTATGCATTATTTCTCAGGAAACGTCACAAGAGCAGCTTGTTTTCCTAGCTAACCTACTGGGGCTCTTTTACATTTTTTTTTTCCCAACAAAAGTGCTCCTGACTGCTCTGTTCAAATAGCTGCCAACATACAATACGTTATTCTATGGACAATTCTCCTAATAAACCAAGCAGCCTCAGTTTCCATCCTTGGAGACCATTAGTTCCCATTTGCAGAAACACAAGGGCGGTGGTTTTTCTCTGGCGGATTCACACTAAGGAAACCTAGTGGCCCTGGTATTCCAGTTTATTTGAAGACAATCTCACCCTACCCAGAGAAACGTCTCCTGTGGGATAAAGGGTGGGTTCAGAGAGGAAAAAAACAGAGCAGACTGGATGAGGAGGGCAGCTGGACAGGGCATGAAGCCAGCAGGCTGGACTCCACTGTCAGCAGGAGACAACGATCTTAACTAAAACCTTCTGCGATACAGCAGCAGCGGAGCCAGGACATTGGCAGGAATGGCCCTTTTTTCAAGACACATTTAAGCATCCAGCAGCAGGCTGAGCAGCTTTGGCAAGCATGCCTAGATATGGTATATTCTATACATGGTGTACCCCTCCCTTCCTTCCAAAATAAAATGTAACATGCATTCTGTCAGTGGGGCTTATTACTTTGTTCTCCAAACAGTTTTCTTCTCTGGGCAAGGCCAGCTTGTCCACTGTTGCCTTGGTTTGCCAAGTATCCTATCTCCAGTCCTCCACAGTGTGAGGTGTGTTCTTAGCCCACTCTCCAGGAGGGGGCCATGAGAGTCACTAGCCATATTTTGTTTCTGGTGAATCCCAACCAAAAAAGTCTGTCCACAAATCAGCTTGAATTCATGCAAAGATGAACTCACTTCATACAAATGGCCTTGGGATTCCACTCGCATACTAGACCAACACAAGAGTGCTCAGAAAGCTGAAGAAACTCAGTTCCTGAGCAGTGCATTGCTTTAGTTTTACTCTACAAGCCCTGTTTAGAAAACAGCAGCTCTTTCCACCAGAGTTGGCTGCTGTTTCCACCACAGTACCACACCCTGAACTACTGATACAACAGAAGCATTAATGCTATTTACAGCTAACCGAAGTTCTTTAAACTGGTTTTTGGCGTAGAATTAAAGGGTCACCTCCAGGCTTTTACTAACAGCTAGTTTGTATTTCAGCAAGTTATTTGAAGGTAGATTCAAGTATGAATGGACAGTTAGGTAAGCTGGCTGCA